TGGATTGGAGCCGGCACTGGCTCGGTCTCCTTCTTCTTGATGCTCATTGAGTAGACTTCGGCATAGTATCCTTGCTTTACGCGTTCTTTAAATTATTCTGACTCGACAGAAGCCAAGGGAGTCGGTAAGTCAATCGTATGAGTCCTCCAATCGATTCTTGGATTGTACTGGACAAGCCAAGGCTTTCCGAGAATAATGTCTTGTTGCTCTGTCAGTTCCCACTCTGTCATTACCACGTCTTTGTAGACTTGTCCTTCCATCTTGATCTTGTCTTTGAAGATGTTTGTGCTCTTCTTTGTGGTCGAGCTTTCATCGAATCTCATCGCACGCTCTGTCCTCCTCTGATAGAGGTTCTGGTCTAAATGCGATCGAATGATGTTGTGATCGGCACCGCTGTCGATCAGCACCTTGACTTGTTTGCCTCCAATCCTTTCGGATTAGTTCACTGGAGTTGTCCAAAACCGTTACATTGTTGATTCTTGACATTCATGATGTTTAACTCCTTCTCTTCATCATCGTCCTTATGACGCATTGTCGGATGATTCACTTGTGCTGGCCTCTGCCTTTGATTTCTCTTGTAGCATTTCGCTATTATGTGTCCTTGCCTTTGGCAGTAAAAGCACAAGTTTCGTTGAAAGCACTCCTCTTTGCTCAGCTTGGGATTGCATATTTCCATGTCGTCACTCTCCGGTGACGTGCATGCATCGACTGAACAGGTCCTCTATACAGAGGCTTATATGGCTCGCGCATGGAGTGGGACCGCTCAAACTCGAGCGCCACGGCAATGGCTTCAGTCGCCGTTTGACAGGTCGATATACTACTTCGTTACGCGTTTTCAGAACCAGTCCTCTGGTAAAACTCATAACTCGATCGACGCTGCTCATGTCTCTGACTTTACTCATCATCTTCCGGAACTTGGTGATGTTGTCTTCCAGATTCTTGCAATTCTTTTACATTAGGTCGTGAAACTTCTCTCTTAATCTTTCTTGGATGTCCACTGCGACAAACCCTCGGCTCATAATGTCTTTCAGATGCTGAACGGACTCAATGGTCACGTACTGCTGCATAAATTCTTGATGCCACGTTGCCGCTGCTCCTTTCAGATTGACAGTGATCAAGGAGACAGATTAGTTGAGGTATCTTTCATTGTACATGTCAATGTTTTGCGACTGACAGTACTTTTGGGCATGGAAGAAGAACAACTCCAAAATTTCATCAAGAGCACTATGATATTTAGGCATCTCTACACCTTTCACTTTGAGGTCGGGCCGGACTTGGAGTTGCGTTCGCATTTCTTCTAGCATTTCTTGCTGGCGTTGAATCAGAGCAAACATGCCAGCCATCTTTTGTTGCGCTGTCATGTTGTCATTAAGTTCCAAGATGTTTTGAATATCCGTGAAGAAGATAAATACAGAATCGGTAATATATACAATTGCCAAAACTTAAACTTTATTGGCAAAAGTAGTCAACGACTTCTTCTTCCTCGGTCTTGCGAGAAATCTTCTTCTTGAGTTCGTAGCAGACAATGTCTGAAATCTTCTTGTCGATGAGGTTGCGCTGAACGTCGGCGTAGTTCGTGAACTCTTCAACGATCTTGATAACGTGCCTGATGCGGTTGCTTTCGATTGCCGTCTTGTTGAGCTCTCGGATGAAGGCTTGGTTGATTTGAACGGTTCTTTC